AAAGACAACTGGAGATAGGCCACAATGCACATTCAACATTCAATTCCTAAGAGACAAAACTACAAGGGATGCCTTCAGTACAGAATTCAGAGCAAAGTCGAAGACCCTACGTGGCATGACTGAGGACATCGGCGTAGAAGAACACTGGGACTCTCTGAAGGCGACATTCAAGGAAACGTGGACAACTGTTCTAGGAAGAAACAAGAGACAAGATAAGGAATGGCTGTCAACGGACACCTACCTGAAAGCCAATAGAAGAGAGGAATATGGTGAAAGAGAAGATGACTCAATGTAAATATGGAAAACAGAAGAAGCTGAGTTCAATGTACATTTCACTGAATAAAAAACGTGAAGAAGAGTGCTAGAAAAGACAAAAGACAATTCTACAACAAACTGGCTGGTAACTGAAGCAGAACATGCAGACAACAGGCAAAAGAGACCTCAGGATATTATATCAGATAGGCACCAGGTCTCTATCTTGGAAGAGATCAACCCAGATGATGAAACCAATAAAAGATGTTCAAGGGAACCTGATTGCCAAGATGGAGAAACAAATAAAACAATGGGCGGCTCACTTCAAAAGACTTTGAATAGACCATCACCTGCAACTCGTCCAGAAATACCAACAACAACAACAACGCGCACACAACTGCCTGCTAGTGGACACCACTCCACCGACGAAAACAGAAATTCTAAATGTGATCAAGCTGCTGAAGTTCGGCCGGGAAGGCAGTAGGACCAGATGGTATTCCCACTACCCCAAAGCATTGGAAACGGACTCAGAGACTGTCGCAGATATGCTCACGCCATTACTGCAAAAGGTTTGGAAAGAAGGAAAGTTACCTACCAACTGGAAGAAAAGCTTCTACCTCGTCAAACTGCCAAAGAAGGGCAACTTAGGCCTATGTCTGCAGAAACTGGTGTGAAATAATGCTCTTGTCCACGCCAAGTAAAATACTAAGTTGCATCATCCTGGAGAGAATAAATGATGCACTGGATACAGAACTCCGCCAAACGAGACAAGCTGGACTCAGGAAGAGCAAGTTATGTGCTGATCAAATTACAGCTATACGCATCATTATCACAGAAAAAAGCATAAAATGGCAGTCAAAACCTCTACCTCAACAGCTTCATTGACTTCGACATTGTTGACCGAGACGTAATTTGGAAACTACTTCAACACTACGGCGTACCTCAAGTCTTTATCAACTTCATTCAACAGCTATGCGACAATGCCACGTGTCAAGTGATCCACAACGGAAAACTCAGTGAATACAGGAGTAAGACTAGGCTGGCTTCCTATTATCACCGATGATATTTCTAATTGTGGTGGATTGGATTATGCATCAGATAGTGTGCGGAAAGTGAGATGACAGGAATACGTTGAACCTGTACGAAGACTCTAGAAGATCTGGATTTCGCCAATAGCTAGTTTAATTTTACTCAAACTCAAAGACTTCCAGGCGAAAACTAACAAAATGGCTGAAGAACCACGCAGGCAGTGCAGACAGGATGCCAGGTGAAAATAGAGAAGACGGAGGAGATGAAGATAAGCAACCAAAAAACCAACAGCAACAACAAGCACCAATTACCATCAACGGAAGAGATTTAACAGAGGTTACTTCCTGCCTTCACTTATCTAGGCAGTCGAAACGGACGAAGATGTCAAAGTTCGAATCGGAAAGGCAAGATACGCCTTCATCAACCTGAAACCAGTTTGGGAATCTCTTGCACTCAGCATAATGAACAAGATTTGGATTTTGAATACCAATGCTAAGTCAGTCAGTACTTCTATACGGATCAGAAATTTGGCATGCACGTCACGAAAAGGATTTCCAACAGGTTGCATACTTTCATCAACAGCTGCCCACTTCGCTGGCTCCATATTGAAGATCAAACGACCGGAAAGAATTAATAACAAGAAACTCTGACTGGGAACAAACCAACAAGCAAGAGCCGATCGCTCAACAAATATGTAGGAGAAAATGAAGATGGATCGGGCATACGCCACTAAGCGGGCCATCAAATGAAGTCGCGCTCAATGCAGGCCATTGCTTGAGTTGAATCCGAGTGGGATGTCGGTGCAAGAGAGAAATGGAGGAGATCGGGCGAGTTGGAGATGAGAGATTATGGTCAATCGTGGGTGCGGCTGAATGGGGCAGCAGAAGGTAGTAGAAAGTGGAGATGTGTTGTTGAAGCCCTATGTTCCAATCAAAACCCAGGGGAATAATAATAATAAGCGACCTGCCTAAATCACTGGGTTACCTAAAATTCCATCCAGTTAAATACAAGGGTTTTTAGAACGGACAGCCTATCGCCATTAGCTGTGATGTCATAGTTCATGCATTCGCTGACACGCTAACCTGATTGGACAGTTATTTTCATTGATTTATTTATCCATTCCAATAATAATATTTATGCCAGAATTCGGACTGACTTGTTTTAACGTAGAACTTTGCACAGATGCGCAGCAGTTCGAGTCGTCACTCTCCAAGTAGCAAGCAATGCAAGAGAAGAGAGTAAATAGCAATAGCAAACAGAAGTGTGAGGGAAAAAGAATAGTTACACGGAAGAACAGTAGAGTTTTATTGGATATGACAAATCTTTGAAAGTGGATGCATCTGCGCCACTGAGAACGATTTTGAGCCATATCACCAAATGTCTCCAGCCATCATTGGTTTTTACCATCCCGGGGACCCCAACCAGCCAGTCATGAAGTCTACACCTCCCTTCGTGACTTAAACTAACTGTTGTGGATCCCACTGACTGATGCCATGTTTTGGTTTGACCACCACTAGCTCTTTTCCAACCTGATCGATGCCGTGTCAGCTAACATTGCCTGTCGAGGAAGGTGATCGCTAGGCACACGTGACACATGTCTTAACCATTTCAATCGATTCACCTTCACAACCTCGTCGATCGATTTCGCTTCCTTAACTATCACTCGACCGAATCTAACCTCAATATTGCTCACCTTATTATACCACCTAACACGGGAAATAGAATTCAAACACCTATGATCAAAGACAACTAGCCTCCTCATGTCTTCCACTTCCAATGGCCATAAAGGAGGACGGAGCGGACTGCTGAGTAGTATACACGTCCTTTGGTCGATAGCCGGATATCACGTGTACTAAGCCAGAGAAGGCGTAAGCTGGCATATGCCAAACAAGCCTTCTGTATCCGTGCTGAGATTTTAGATGCCGGAATTCGTGGGTTGATAGATTTTGGTATGAGCAACATTGCAACCAGCAATCTTCATCAACTGGCCTGAGACCATTTAATTCTCAAGGATCATAAAAAACAAACCTCCTTGCAGAGAAGTCAGCCACACTGTATATTCATCTGCAACTACTCTAAGAGTACATTTCATTAAGATCACTCAAATGATCGTACATCATAAAGCTTGAAAAAGACACCTGTTCACTTTCCAGTTACATTTCATGTAAATCGAGACCCTGGTCTAGTTAGTGGGAGACGGATTCAATCAAGAAGTGCAGCTCTAACTAATCAAAATCACTCCACTCAAACTTACGCAGCCCTGTATGAAAACCTACTGAGAGTTATCATCTGAAGTAAAGACAGAAATCAATAATTCCTTATTTCAACCAGTAATATAATTTCACCGATCTCTACTTTCCAAAGAATATAGTTGAACAGTTAAATTCAATAAGCCACAGAATCCACAGCCCTGAAACTATGGAAGAGGAGCTGTATACTCTGAAAAAAATCCTCCTTGAAAATGGCTACCAAAAACATTTCATCATAAAATCCATGAAAATCGCCTACACTTTCTACTCCCAAGAAACCTCTCTACCTGAGTCTACAATTCAATGGACACTCATCAGCAGAAATACTGAGAAACCACCTGTCCCACTCACTGAAGAAAACCTTCATCACGGCTGAACTTCGAATAACTTTCTCTACGAAACCAATGATTCGCATGAACGTGAAGGATAAGCTACCACTGTTTTACTCATCGATGTGCATCTACTAGTCCACCTGCTCGTGTGAAGCTAGATATGTCGGCCGTAACCAGCATTTGCTATCCAAAAATGTCATCGGACATTTACCCTCACGGTTTTATAAAGGAGGAAAGATACCCCGCCACCACAGCTCTATCCTGAAACACCTGATCGAATTGGGACACCAAACTAACTCACCCACAAAAGAACTTCCAAGGCATCTACAAAAAACGTGGGAATCCTGATAAGACAATATGAATCAGTCTTCTTCAAACAGCAGATGCAGTGGCTATTCGCATGTTAAGTCCTGAACTCTGCATACGAAATAAGTTCATTTAGTCATTAAATTTACAGTGGACCTGATCTATCTTAACACACCAAATACGTAACTTTTGTGTGTTTTGTTTCTTAATTGTATTATTTTCTTTCCCCAACCCCAATTAAATTTCTACACCCTTGTTACCACTGTTGTTAATTTAACTCATTCAGTCTTAGATGAGTTTCAGTCAACTTCGTCAATTATATTACGTCACTCAGCTTCCTCGACTTTACTTTAGTTTCTACCCAATTAACGCTTTCTAAATCACATAATTTGTTATCTAAAATCTTCACAATTCTAATGACACGTCTTTGAAAATATTCCTATGTTGCCAAGACAATTTACTATATATATATATATATATATATATATATATATATATATATATATATGCGGCTGTACAGGTTGAGAATGATATCGCCGAAAAGATTAACTCTTCGCTGAACATCTTTTCTTTTAGAACCCTAACCTACCCATGATTTACATTAATATGCGTGAAGTATGCAACTTCGCAGCTAACATAGTATAGCCATTTAGATGAAGACAGTCTCCCGCCTCAGCGTAAAGTAGCCATTTCAGTTCACATTATCTGAAGAAACACAACCTTCTAAAATTAAGTACTCATTATGGACTCAACAAATGCAATGTTGTGTGTACAGATTCAAGCCTTCATGTATAACATATCCTGAACTACTTATTCAATATAATAATAATAAATTCATTCAAATCAGTATAACCTCAAGAGTAGTTTATTTAATGCACAAAAAAAGACACATCTTATGCACAGAGATATACAATGGACAAAATTTGTGGAAATACACAACACAGACCAAAGCGTATACAATTCCCACCGGGGATTTGAAGTAAAATGAACAGGCTTTGAGATTGAACACTGTTTTGTTTTGTTCTGTTGTTTTTTACCCCTTTATTTCAGTCAGATTTGTAGGCATCAATTGCACTGAGACGTTCAAGTAATGGTGGATGTGAATGATTGAACATGGAATACAACCAATCACATACAGGGAAGGATAAATTATCTTTTAAAAGAATAATTAAAGCAGATTTTAAATGTTGTCCATAACCTAATTTTACAGCAAAAGCATCTGCTTGAAATTCAAATTTTCTAGATAAAACTGTCATCATAAAATCCATGACTGTATTATACGGAGAGAATATAAACTGGAAAATAATAATTAATCTTAGCATAATCGGTGTATCATTATCTTTGAAACCGAAAGAAGTGAATAACACATTCATATCCATTAAAAGACTGAATATAACAAACATCATTAGTAGATTTGCTTTTCCAATGAAAAGATTATAAATTGTATGATTCAACTTCCAATGTCCTAGTTCATGTGCAATAACTGATAAGATTTCTTCATCAACTGAACAACCACGCTGGTCAGATTCTTTTTTAGTCTCCTCCTGTGTAGTTGCTGCAATTGTGGTTGTATCTTCACTTTTACCGGGAAATTTAAAACCACGAATAAGTGTATCAAAAATAACAATTCTTTTATTTTTACCAAATCCATAGAAATAGGCATTACTATGCGCTGAACGTTTTGAGCCTTCAACAACTAGAAGTTTTTTCAATGGGAATTTAATAGATGCTGCTAACGCTTCTATTTTCGTCTTTAAAGATCCATCCGGTAGTGGTTCATAATGATCGAACAATGGTGCAATGTATTCTGGATACACAAACATTAAGAATATAGTAACTAATACTGTGAATACAAAGGCGAATATGTGGAAATAGCGTCCACCAGCTTTGATAATCCATATTAGACAAGACAGCACTGGAATACAGATAAGCATTGAAATGCACAACGATTTAATTTGATCCTTGATAAAGAAACCAAACGACTGTTTGTTAAAACCATGACGTGCTTCAATTACAAAGGTGCTATAAGTTGTCCATGGGAATGAATCTACAAATATGAGTAAAGCTGTATACAAGAAGAATATGATGGAACACTTAATCTCACTGTCTACTCCAAGACCCATATTAATACCGAATTTCTCAACAACATAAGCATTTAAAATGGTAGAATGCTTTACAACAGTATACCACAACCATGGTAGAAATGAAAAGTATAAGACTGCTGACAATTCAAGAATATGATATACACCACTAACTAGAGAGAAGTTTGATCGATCAATAGCATAAAGACGTGACTTTTGAAAACTTTCATTATCCATAACACTTGATAATTCACTGGGAACATTTGTCGAGTTGATAATTTTTCTTCTCTGACGAATACTTAAATATGTTTCCCAAAGGTAGGTACACCATAAGAATATGAATACACCGGAAAATAAAGACACTGGATATCCAGAAATTACGAACAGTACAAAAGGTGCATCCATTTCTCTAAGCGTCATTGATATTCACCAGAATTTGATATTTGTCCCAACAACTGAATGTTAGGGAAATACTATTAATTAGTAACCAAGATCAGTACCTAAAATAGAAATTAAATTAGTCAGTAATTCATTACACGATAGTGAGAAAATAAAATATGCCGAGGCATCGACTTAAAATATTGAACAAACACGTAGGATTTGCTACTGATGGTATTGGAGTCAATGAAAATAACTCACACTTTGATCGAATACAGAAAAAAAGTACTTCCTACAACAACCATCACACTGTTCTTCGAGATTCAATCTTACGTAGCTACCAAGTGTTCATCAATGAATATCAAAAAGTGATATGGAATGTATGCAATTATGGCACTTGAGTTGCTGTAATAAATGATCACTGAAGGCCCACTAGTTACTATGCTGGAATGTCGAGACGCTAAAAGACAACGGTTGGAGAATGACATAGCTCAAAATCCTTTTTCAATAGCAGAAAGGCATGCACGCAATTTTTCTGCATCGTAATCGACGTAATTCTTAGCGTCAGCTTTACACTAATTTCCTGAAGACACCTAACACAATACTTAGTCGACAAATACATCACGTATAAGCAAGTTGAGTGACGTAATCTATTTGATGGGGTTGAGTAGAGCTCAAATGAGATTGAACGGAAGTCAAGTTAACAACAGTGGTAAGAAGGAATAGAAATTTAATAAGGGGTGGGGGAAGAAAATAATACAAATTAGAAACAAACAAGCACCCTTAGGAAAATTGTTCCCAAGAGCTCTTTTAGTTTACAAGTCATGTAACACTTATGATCATCGGTGAGAGACTATTGTTATTAAATTTCACACCAACACGCTTTCCATCAACAATATCCAGAAGTAATTATTGTACGAGCATATTTCTGGATGCATATTTCCATTCACCACTTAATCATATACATTAATTTGATGCTAATAAAAGTATTCCACTCCAAATCATGCAGCTGTGTAAGACCTTATGAAGAACTGCGATCGGAACTAGCGACAAACAGTAACATCCGCTAGTCATGCCCGGTGTTGTTGTTCTTATTGAATTTTATGAGACAATGGCAAGTGTGAATACAGCACCCTTACCAAATTAATTTGATAGCACTAAAACGTGTCAAAAGAGATACCAGTCTACTGGAAACAGTGTAAGCACCAGTAAGAGGGGCAGACATCGGTCTCTGGAGTGAATCGTATAGTGAAAAGTCGAGAAAATTAAGTCCTTTCACATGTGTAGATAGAGGCGGACACAAGCGGTAGTTTATCCTCAACGCACTCTCGAATCATGTTTCGGCTGGTAAATACCAAGTGTAAGTCAACTGCATACAAACAGCGTCTAAAACATTTAGATAGACAACTTTTAATGACTTCAGCGACAGTGTCACCTTTGAACGCCAAACCCATAAACACTGTCTTCTTTGGCACTGTGATTTAGGTGGGAACGGCGTCTTTTTTGGTGTTTCTGTTATTAAACCTCCTAGGATATCCATTATTTCAGAAAATTGTGAGGTTTTCTAGTACCTTGTCGACCATATCTATAAAGAAAATTTTCCGAATCCTGCAGCATAGAGAACGGATAAGATCTCCCTTCCTACCTAGAGGTAACCAACTGTTGTAGTGTATTGCCCAGTAAATGTCGGCATTCGATAGATCGACCTTTTTAACGTGCCATCTAACATCACATCTAGGAAGTGAAATGGGGAGTTCGATTCTTCTTGGATAGTGAAAAGCATCGATTGGTGAGAACCATTAAATTTCACTAGAAGCACGGCAGTTGAACAGTTGTCGTTACAAACAATGTTGTCAATATATCGATTACACATATACAAACTCGAAATAGTGTCTTTCAACGTACCACTGTTTTAGCTTGCCACGAAGACATCCGCTATGAGAGGTCCTAATGCATACCCCATGGCGACTCCCATCCCTTCGATTATAAGTGACATTGTTAAATCTAAACTACATATTAAGCGTGCATCTTAGTAAGAGCTTCTTCAGATAGTTAGTTGGTACTCTAAGGTTTATACATTTTAGGTTGATGTAATCACATAGATAACAAATAGTTTCTACCAAAGCTACATTTGTAGAAAAAGAGCAAGCATCTAGAGAGATCATGTGCTAACCAGTCAACGCAGATGACGAAGACGTGTCCGAAAGACTATGTTTACATAAATTTGATCTTATTGGTTCAAGGATTTCAACGAGTCATTTGGCTGTAGAATGATAAGGAGAGTTCAGCATATCCAATATAGGTCCCAGAGGGACACCATCTTTATGCGTCGGTGGCACAGTGGTTAGGACTCTCGCCGACCATGTACATGGTCCGGGGTTCGATCCCCTGCCGGCGCACACCCGATATCTATGGTATGCCTGAATTTGGGCAACCGATATCCATGCTGAAAATTCCATACTTGTACTGAAAATACGGTGTGGAATCAAGCTGTAAATCAAATAAAAAAAAGACCATATATACGGCGGATGGCTGAGGCAGACGGCCTGAGATGTTCTTACAAATACGGAGTAATAACAGATTCGTCCTTCGGCTTCTTCACAGATTTTGACAATTAATTCTCAATATCTTAATGTGTTAGACGCTGTTGGTATGCAGCTGACTTACACTTGGTATTTGCCAGCCGAAATATGATTCGACAATGCGCTAACGATAAACTACCGCTTATGTCCATGTCTATGTGCATATACTGATTCACATGCTCGTGTGGAGCTGCTTACATTGTACGTTTTAAGCATCTTCTCCGTAAACGCATAGCTAAACACTACTCGCTGAGCAAAGAACGACGGAGTTTTCAATTTGTAAGTGCACTATAGAGTCAGGTCATTCAGCCCCACGTAATTTACTTCAAAGTTATTTATAGGACCAAATCTAACCAATCCAAAAGATTACGTTTTCTCCACCTATGCACAGCCAACTGCTCTAGCTATACATGGACAGAAACCTAAATTATGTGTTTAGGAACTTTTTGTCCAACCCTTTTCTTTACGTTCTCTTATTTTATTTTTAGTCTACCACTTGAATTCATTCCATTTCACTTCATCTTCGCCATCTTTACTGTTATCATCATCACACTGTTAATTTGTTCTTACAAAACACTTGACCGGCAGTTTTAAAATCTTTATACCAGTTCACTTACCTAATAATCTTTAAAAGTTTTGTAATCCATCAACTTCAACTACACCCCCTTAAAACATCATTTTTAATTATCTTTATTCCTATCGTATGTACAGTATTGACTGAGCGATTTCTAGTGCCACTTAATTCCTTTTTCTGTTATATGACTGTACAGCTTTGACAATGAAGTCGCTGAAAAGAGATAGTATTTCCTCGCCGAACAAAAACTGTGCCTTTCACATATAGTTACTGTTGGCATAGGAGTGACCTAATTACTGCCTACATGGTGATAAATTACTGGAATAATCCACAGGTATTGTCATCAAGGACTCCCTCATGGCAACCTAAAGATGACCCTGTATCACAGGACAAAGAATCGAGTGCAATCCTACTCCTGTTCACCTGAAGTTTGCCCCCACCGGAACTCTTTACCAGCTACTGCGACTTCAGCGGAAAGGTTTAGTAGAGGAGCAGGGTTATCGTGGAGCGACACAAGAAGTGTGTCCAAATGGGACAGTATCTTGATAGTCACCTACCACAGTTTATTAATGGGTATCACTTAGACTCGTCCTCCACCCGTGACAAATATCTGTGGTCCCACTCTTCTGACTACTCTACTTATTCATTTTTTAATTACTAAATTTTACTGCATAGCTATTTGTTCGTGTTTCAGTATAAGTTTACATAATCCCCATTAATTACGTTATAATTATCCATCTTTCTGACTACAGTGGACGATTAACGGCCGGGAGGATTAACATCATTCCCATCAGTAACACTGCATCCTACGTATTATATGATATTCATGAAGATGAATTCAGTGAGATCTTGGTTGTTATCAACACAATAATTAGTGCCGTGACTGATTGTTGACTTCAAATATCACTGCATGACTAAGAAGTATTGAAATCATTACATCAATGCACTGACGTAATAAAGCATGCAATTCCACCTATCACCGTAAAAAATATATGCCGTAAAGACTGTATTAAAAAAGTGCACACAAAACTGTTGTGAATTCTGGAAACTAACAAATGGGAAGAACACTGAGGATTTAAATCCTCAGCAATTGCTGACAAGATTGTACAGAGAGTAGTATCACGGTCTTCACCAACTATCTAAAACCAAATAATTAACGAGAAGACAATGTGCATGAAGCAAAAGAAAGAACAGTGAACATAAGTGCGCACTAAATTTGATACACGTATAAAACCACAATCAACACAAGTAACCATACTTAAATTTCACTTTTCAACACTGCCGCTGCTGCATCAGCTACAAACAACCTTCACCCTACACTGTGAAAATATAACTGACATGCGGGTAGTAGGAAAAGCGTATAGAAATTTGCTGAAAATTTAAGTGAAATTTCAAGATTTATTGAATACCTACCTTTTAGAGGAAGTTAAAGTTTAAACACCAAAACGTGCCAATGGAGTGCGACCGCACCCGTGAAACTTGGGCGCTTGCTGAGCAAGTTAGTAAAACCATAACCATTAGTGAAATAAGCTCATTGAAGTGCTATGATACTAAGCAAAGTATCTCGTAACTTTTAGGCCAGGTTTGGGAGCGTTTAAATTAAGGTTTAATCAAAGGACTGTTTAGGTTTACGTTAAACTAATGAGAGAGATATTAAAGTTAGCTCGAACTAGATTCAGATTATTTTAGGGACAGTTTCATGTTAGAGTTAGGCTAAGGAACGATTAGGGTTACCACCAGGGCAAGAAGACAGATGAACACGTGCAGGATATGATATAATTCCTCAGTTGACATGCCAATCCGAAACTGAGAGGCTTCTTGTCATACGTCAGAGAAAGGTGAATTGAGTAGCGATTTCACTCCTTTTTTATTCCTTTTTCACAAATATGTACATTTTCCGTAAATATTGCTTTTTTCATGTGACTGGTGCGTTCAGGATTATTTTTCCTCGACCGTACTCCTCTGTGTAGAGTTTAACCTTGCCACCTTTTGATTATTTGGTTCAGTTCGCTCCTATCAGAACAGAAACAATTAGTGAAGCAAAATGTGATTTATTAAACCATCCAAACCAGGATATTTATTTCTCAGTTAATGTTGCTAAGCCGAAATTCGTTCTTAGCTACCTAATAATTACAGGAAATGTCGAACGTGGTGCACCCCCAGCCTAACTCATCCACCTAAACAGTGGAGGTCAGCACCCAGCGACGACAGCTGATGTGACTACAAGTTGTAGATCTATGTGATCTTTAACCGCCACAGGTTAAACACTTCATGTTAAACAAAGGGCACTTTTGAACACCACAATTTCTGTGTCTCGTTAGCAATCAGCAACTGAGTTAAGGCTCTCTTCAAACATAACACTGGGCATGTCATGTCAGGCAACATCATAACTGATAGGTTAGTCCAAATCTTCTTCGTAGCTCTACAGGTAACGTCGTGCTTTGATATCTCAGTAATTTACATCTATGCAAACGTTTTTATGAGGAAACCGCGAATCAGAAATAAATACAAGTCTAAGATAATCAATCGACCAATTATGCACAGGAATGTCTTCCAGTCATCTTGAGTCAACACACAATGCCGCAAATGGCCATATCTAAATCACTACTCCAATACGCTCCTGCATGGTGTCAAAATAATCTGCAAACTCAGTGAAGCCTCAATCATATCAACCCCATCGATCAGTTTGTGTGTCGGTATTGATAAAACCAAGGCAGACATATCACAAACAACTGAATTTTCAAGGAACTAGAGAGTAGTTTCTGCATTTCACCGTGATTGTGGATATCTATGTCCTTCCTTCACTGAGTAAGGCTGTACTGAGTGTAGCCCCACCACATGTCATGGGGTCAGACGGTTGTGCGGCTTAGATCTGGCAGGACAAATGCTCCCGTAGGGGACCAAAGTTCGTGAAGTC